GATCACTTTCGATGAAGGAGGAAGACTGGATGGTACTCGTTCAACCAAAGAAGAGGAAATACGAGAAATAAGAAAGAGGGAAAAAGAGGAAAGAATAAAGAAGAAGGGAAGAAGAAATGGGAAATCGAAGACCAACGGTTAGTAAAATTATGGGAATTTTATAAAAACTCCGTCGAGTTTTGTGCGATCTCGGTCGAGTTTTTTAAGAATAGATGTGTCCATTTTTTTCATATACAACAGGGGCAATTTCGTCAAACCACCTTCTCTGACGTGTCAGAAAAAGAGAAATTGGGTCATATAAGTGAAAAATCTGAATTTGGATGATTTGAGCAAACCTAAAACATTTTTAGGTCAAATCGGTCAAATTCCCAGAAAAAAGTGGTAGTTTTTGTAATAAGTTGAAGAATGGAGTCCTTTTGTGATGTTTCTGGTTGGATAAGGGCTATCTTGTCTTTTAACATAATAATATGAGGGTTAAATATATTATTTATTTCGTAATCTTGAGTTTTCATCCCTAATCTTTTAAAAATTTTAATTCTTTATCTTTTTGTATTGGTTTTTTTTTTCAATCAAAGTTCTTATAGGTTTAAACTAACTGAACAAATGATATAATATCAAAATAAGCTTCATTAATTCAGTTGAAACCACTCTTCGTTTTTAATTCAATAGAATAGACTACCATTCATCCATACACATTATAAAAAAAAAAATACTCCTTTCATATAATTTAGAATTAGTAACATAATTGCCAACATGTGGTAATTGATACATTAATTATTTGACTAAAAAATTATGAATTTATATTCTCATCCTCATTTATTTTACTAAGAAAAGATTTAATAACCTATTTAATTCGAAAGTACTCATGGTTATTAAAGTGTGTTATCTACTTGAGTTATGTTCGAATTGACAATTTGCAGAGTGTAGAGAGTTATAACTTTGCATTAGATTTTTTCTAGTACAGATAGAAGCTCAAATCATTAACCTTTAAGATGGTATTAAATGTATTATCTATTTGAATTATGTTCGAATCGACAATTTGCAGAATGTGGGGAGGGAGGTGGCTTTTAGTCATGAGAGGGTGAGATTAGGTGTTGAAGGAGAGTGATGGAAGATATATGTGGCTTCAAGATTTTGCTTAATGAGCTTGGGGAGGTTCTTGTGGTAAAGGGCACTTGCCAAATTTTCCCTCTTCTCCTTGATGAGTTATTGGCCACCTGCCCATTTTTCCCTCTTCTATTGTCATGACTCATATTAATAATGTTAGGTGGCCTTTTTTAAAAACATTTTGAAAAGATTTTGAAGACAATGCAAAAAAGTTCTCTCGTTTCTAGTTTTCAATTTGTTTCATCGTTTTTGAATTCATAGGTATTGGGTCATGCATTTCTACTTTTCTTTATTAAAAAGAGAAAACACAAATAAAAAATGGAAATGTTATGGTCCGTTGGGTAATATTCTCATTTCTTGTTTCTCCTTTTTAATTTTATTAAGAAATCTATCATTTACGATTCTATTTTTTTTTATTAAATGGAGCCTTGTTTGCCTGATCCTGTAGCTAGTTTTAATTTATTTCCCTAGCTTTTAGTTTACCTCTATTCTCCAATAATAATAATGCCAATAACTCTTCAATTCTTTTAAGTATTCAATATTTTACTCCTTTTTAACTAATAGTATTTTAAAGAGGAAAAAGGACTGTAAATTGAAATTCGAGACTTTGGTAACATTTCTATTTCTCCTTTCTTGTATCTATTCTTTTAGATTAAAAATTGAAAAACATCATTTGTTTCTTTTTTATAAAAGAAACAAAAAAACAAAAAAAAAACAAACAAACAATAACAATTGAACTCAAATTAATTAATAATATAAAAACTATATAACATGCATTAAAACAAATATAACACGATTATAACAAATTTATAAACTATTAAAGCAAATATAACAATCATAAACTTAATCATTCCCGTTAAAACTCATGTACTCCTAATTTATCGTGTCAAAAAAATGTTCCATTGGCGCAATGAGTGAATGGAATTCAAAAAGTGAAAACAAGAAAGTTTCTAACGGGAGGACATTTTTAATAGAAATAGGAACAAGAAACCAAAGAACATTTTTAATGGAAACATATATATAAAAAAAAAAGTAAAATACAAAATACAAAAGCAAAAGCCCAAAGAACTTATTTTTGGTCCTATTAACGTGTATTAAATAAGAAAAAGGAGGATTAAGCTTTTTGTTAGAAGAGGGAACAATTCTATCAACTCTGTTTACAGAAAGCCGCCGCACCTAATGAAAGCTATTAAAATAGCAGGGGGAAAAATTTGTTCAACAGCACTATATTTGTATACTGTTTATTTTTCAAATTCTGTGCAACTTTTTTTAATGTTGTATAGATCCCAACTGCATCTTTGCTGAATCATCATACAGCATAGAGTTTGAAGAGGGAAATCCCTGAACTGGGGAGGAAGAGGACGGATAAAAACTTGTTCGGAGATCATTGTAACGGGCGATATCGAAATTCCGAGCCTTCATCAGGCGCCTCTGCTTTGTGCTGAACCGGCTTTGGAAGAATCCTTCGAAAGAGGGCTCTTTTGAGGTTCTGAGGAAGAAGGTATATCCAGCAATGAAGTAACCAGAGGTGACATAGAAGCAAATTGGCTCCATGACATCCCAAGAGAGCTCCCAGAAGGTGAGCCTCATGAATGCAGCTGTTTGAACCATGAGGAAGCCCAGTCCACTCCAGAGCTCCCGTCGTACGAGCGTTTCGGCTCTTTCGTCAATTGCAGCCTTCTCCTTCTCCATTTCCTCAAGCTCTTCCCTTCTAGCATCATTTGGAATGGTTGCTGGCAAGGGAATTAGGCCTTCAATGGCTTTAGCTACCTGTGGTCAAACAATATGAAATACTTGGGTAAAAGCTTGAACTACCTAGCAACAGTTATAAAGTTAGTTCTAATGGTTCATTGGATGAACTAAACCACCTGAAGTTAAAACTTGGTCACCAGCTACACAAAATACTATATATATATATAAAGAATTCTTAGGCATCATAATTCAGAAAAAAAGGGAGCCGGATCAAAAATGGCACAGCTGGTCCAGGTGTAAGAGGATGAATGATTTTTAAAGTCAGATTTCAATGGGTATTAAGTAATATAAGATATAATCAGAAGACAAATTCAATTAAGTGTCTAGGACTGGACTTTAAGAAAGGAGAAACAACTGGGGTTGGGATATCCAATGGTCCCACCCAGATAATGAAGAAAAACAAAAACAAAAAGGGTGTAAA